GGAGGCATCCTCCGACCCACAGCTCATTCACTGCTATATATAGGGCAACCCGAGCCCGGCGCTCATTAATTCATGACCAGTGAATAATGGAAGAGGTCGCCCGGGGAAGGTGTACGTTGGGCATATCAAGGTACCTGTCCTCGGACACACTGATCACCCCGTCCTCTTTGGGCACAATCACTGCCATGTTCACCACGTCCTGCGACCCCTCCACCTTGTTCAGCAAGACGGGCTTGCGGGTCAGAGGCTTCGAGTGGATCTCGGCGGCCATCCTGTGCCTGAGAGATGCCAGGAAGGTGCCCCGTGCCTTCGCGCAGCCGAGACAGACTGGCACATGCACGGCTCACACACTCAGCTCTGCAGCCCCTGTCAGCTGACAGCTCACGTCACTTCTGGAGGCACGCCCACTCACTCTGTTTTGTTGTGGGCTTTTTTTTTTCTCAAATCTTTATTCTAACAACAGAAGATGACAGTAAACATGGTGCGCTGGTGTTGCATGTGTATAGTCGCCAGGATATTTTTTTTTTTATTTTCAAAGCTTTATTCTCACAACATAAAATGACAGTGAACATGATAAATTGATGTTTCATGTGTATAATTGCCAATTTCTATTTTTAAATCTTCATTCTTACAATATAGGATGACAGTTAACACGATACATTGGTGTTCCATGTGTATAGTTGAGAGTATTGTTTTTCCACATCTTCAAAGCTTTATTCTCACAACATAAGATGACAGTAAACAAGATACATTAATGTTGGGTGTGTATAGTTGCCAGTATTTATTTTTAATCTTTAAAGCTTTATTTTCACAACATAAGATGACAGTGCACATGATACATTGATGTTCCTTGTGTTTAGTTGCCAGTATTTTTATTTTTTTTCAAATCTTCAAAGCTTTATTCTCACAACATAAGTAGACAGTAAACATAATACATTGGTGTTCCATGTGTATAGTTGCTGGTAATTATTATTTTTAAATCTTGACATATCTACACATGATACATTGATGTTCCATGTGTATACAGTAGTTGCCAGTATTTGTTTTTCTTCAAAGCTTTATTCTCACGACATAAGATGACAGTAAACATGATATGTCAGTGTTCCATGTGTTTAGTTGCCATCTTTTTTTTTCAAATGTTTATTTTTACGACATAAGATGATAGTAAACATGATACTTGGTGTCAATTGCGTATAGTTGCCAGCATCCTTTCTTTCAAATCTTTATTCTCACAACTAAATAAATATAGTTGCATATAGTTGCCAGGATCGTTTTTTTCCAAATCTTTATTTTGAAAGCAAAGGATGACAGTAAACATGATACCTTGGTGTGACATGTGTATCGTTGCTGGCATTATTATTTTTTGTTGTAGATTGTAAGCTCTCAAGGCCAGGTTCCTCCAAACCATATTGTCTTGAATTGTATTGTTACTGTAATGTCTTCCTTATAATGTAAAGCGCTGCGCAAACTGTTGGCGCTATATAAATCCTGAATAATAATAACAATAAGAATAATAGTATTTAAATCTTTATTCCAACAACATAAGATGACAGTAGACATAATACATAGGGGTTCCATGCATTAAGTTACCAGCTTTCTTTTTTTTCCAAATCTTTAGTCTAACAACAGAAGATGATAGTAAAGATGATACATTGGTGTTCCATGTGTATACGTTCAGATCCGTACAGTGTTATTTTTTTGTTACAGATCTAAACGCAGCAGTCTCTGTGCCTGTTTAGTGAACACAATACATGTGCAGAGCCTGCATATAGGCAGAGAAAGCTTCTCTCACTGCTGATATGTCTGGTTGTTAACCTCAGAAAACACAGGGTTAGCAGCCTTCCTCCTCCCTTTCAGTTGTGGGGGGACAAGCAGAGGGAATCAGATCTCCTGCACTCTATGCCAGGTCTGTGGCAGACATGGCATAGAAAATGGAGCAGATCACTCCTATGAAGCTTGCACCTCTTTGTTAATAAGGAGCAGGATCTGCTCCATTTTCTCAGTTTAGAAGAGCAGTGCAGGCTTAATGTCTGCACCAGTCTTTGTTAATTCCCCACGATGCAGTGAATGGAGTGTTGTTTCTTAGTATGTAGAACTGACTTGCTGTGTTCATTATTATCTTAAGGTGGCCATACAGCTTACAATTATCATGCGATTTTTTTTTTGTGCCGTCATCAAACCGTCATTCGATTTTCGCACGACTGCCCCATAATGCACAGACCAATATGGATTTCAATTGCAGTTAGTTAGCAATACTAAATGACAGAATTTCGTCAATCGAAAGAATGGATTTTCGTTTGCGCATGTGCAGTGTTCATGTTCTGATTTTTTTTTTGTACTAAAACGCCAATAATCCATCGATTCAAAGAAAGACCGATAGATGACATTCGACCAGTTGTACAGTAATTGTGATCATTCATTTCCCATCAACTGGCTGATTATCGTACAAAAACCCGATCTCACTCGTTTTTCGAACGATAATCGCAAGGTGTATGGGCACCTTTAGTTGATCATGTGTGCTGCATTATCCACTTATACATGAGCTGTAAGGATCATAAAAGGAAAGCTCAGAGTAGTGTCCTGTGCTGTCTAGTTTGATGTGGACTGCAGACATACACTACGTATCACACAGTATCTGGTTTACTGTCTTGTATGGTCTACATCCAGGACTAGATAGGCAGAGTGCAAAGGTCAAGAATGGTAGGACAACCTCTTTTTTTCGTTCTATGTTTGAGGTAGACAGCTGCAGATTAATGTAAAACAAAAGGTAAGAAAGATGAACAGATTGCTGTAGACTGGAATTCTGCTTTAAATTTAATTGGGCTGGCAATGCACCCCACCACACGAAGGAGGTTGGGGTGCCATTCAAAATGAAAGCATTGAGATAATTCATGCATTACTGCAGTGCACTGTGAATGTGTCCTTGATGATTAATTGCTACCGTATGCTACTTGTGTAACTCACTTCACAAAGAGCTTTTTGTTCCATCTGTGTCACGATTTATTCGATATTATATTGTATTTAATCACTTCTACCCAAAGTCACATGTTTTGAAAATGCAGTGCCTGTGTTTAGCGTGTCTGTGAATAACGTGTCACCTTCTAGCCCCAGCACAGGCACAGAGTTTATATTTGACCTGCTTTTGTTTGCTATTGAGCAAATTCTGAAGCAGCAGGAACAGATTTTAATAGAACAGGATGCAAAGTAAGCCAAGTAAGTCAACTGCAACCTCAGACCAGTCATCAAAACTACACAACGAAAGTGAAATGAAAGCTGCAGACTTGCAATTAAAGCAAGGAAAACAGAGCCCATCTACATGATCCCATTTTACCACACTTCCTGTCTTGGTGACCACAAAGGGGACCAAGACAGGAAGTGTGGGGAAATCTGCCCAGCAAAGCCTTAGACATCAGAAAACACCTGAAAGAGGTTCTAATATCTCCACACTGTATCCACACCTAAAAATAAAAGCACTGGCTGGAGAACCGTTGTACTTAATATTTAGTGGAACACTCTGGCATGCTAAAAAAAAAGCAGGATATCAGGGTACAGGTGGTATGTTTTAAAACTGATAACATTTACAGAGCCAAATACTCCCAGGAATAAATAATCATAAGCTAGGACTGCCCCTGGCTGCAAGAACAGATGTGTTCCAGTGACAAATGAAAAATAATACAGCAACCACATGTATGGACTGATAAGCAACAATAAACCACATTTTTGGTATTGGGGTTTAAATACGGTTTAGTGCTTTCAAAACCTGTGTCAGCTCTAAGTAACACTAAGTGTACCATTAATATCCACATCAATGATGCTAGTTACCACCTGGCTTTAAATCCAATTGTAAATTGTTATAATCATCTCTACTGATGTGAGATATTGTTCTGTTACAATATATCAGTTGTTACACCTTGGAGGAGGGGTCTACCTAAAAAACTATTTGCAGTCATTTGCCCTGCGAATATTTGTAATGTAATGTAATACTGAATTGTGGCCACTAGATGGAACAGTATAGGAAATACTTTTTTTTTATCTGCTCATCTGCGCCATCTAGTGGCCAATGAAGGATTACATTACATTAAATTTGACATGAAAAGAAAATATACTAAGAATGTTTATTTATTTGTTATCTATTTAAGGTATTTATAAAGCACCAACAATTTATGCAGTGCTTTCCATATTGCACATTCACATAGGTGCCTGCCCTCAAGGAGCTTACATTCTAAGTTCCCTATCATGCCTCTATTCACACAGAGCGAACGTTTAGAGATTTGCACAGTGAATAGCTCTGCAAACCCCTTTGTGTTACTTAGAGCTGGCACAGATTTTAACAGCAACCTATGCAAAGTATTTATGAGTGTGATCGGGGCCATTTGAGGGGGCTTATGACAGCAATGACATATTTATGGGGATGAGCAATGCAAATATATTTTTATACAATTGTTATTTTTCTATAATGAAGAAATGATTGCGATAAACCGCATGTCACCCCATAGTAACCATCTTTTGGCTGTTCATCTTTATTTCTGTATTATTTTACAGGTTACAGGCCTCCGTTAACAAGTGGATGAGTCAGTAAACACTGATTTTCAAGGAAGAATTTCTAGAATGTTTTTAACCGTTTGAGAAACCAGCTGAGACCTTATTATAAATGTTCAGCTTTTACTGTCAAGTTACGGTAGCGGTCATCTATAAATGGACTGTACACATCAAATTCTGATTCTGCTACAGCGTTATGATAGTCTACTTCTGCATGGAGTAAGACTGACAAACTGTCTACGTTAAAGGATAGGACTTGATGGGCTATTGGTAAATAATTAAAAAAATAAAGAAACTTACATGAAATTACAGCAAGCCTATGTAGGATATCTGTATGGACCACACAGCTAGGGTTTTGCGTGTAGGCTCGATTCACACTTTTGCAATCACCCGAAGTGCTCTAATGTTACACCATGCATTAATGTGTGTTGCGCTATACCAGCCCTTTCATTTTGAATGTGATGCCAATGCACCACAACAGATCAAAAACATACAAGAGCCTGTTTTATTAAAGGAGAACTCCAGGAATTTATTTTATTGACCCTTGCAGTGCGGCTACCCCCAAACTGCAAGAGTTAAGTGCACGTTTTTGTCTAGATGCTAAAATAAAGTTATACCCACCTACGAGCCGGCCAGCTGTTACAGCGCTCCCTCCAGCCTGTCTCCCCCTCCCTGCAGCATTGGAATCTTCCCCATATCTATACACAGTGTACAGACGTAATGATTTACAGGACCTTAGGCTTCTGCAGTGGAGGGGTAGAGACATTCCAGGGACTGGTCTAAGAAGAAGCCGGCTCAGAGCTTCAGGTGAGTATAACTTTGTGTTTTTTTTTACCTAG